TATTTTCCAAGGTTCATCGTCAGACGGTGAAGGCTACATCTGTCTACAGTCCTGAAAAGTCACTGCCAGCCTGTGTAGGTAATGCTAAAGTAAATGGACTTGACTCTTGTGGTACAAGGAAGCTCTCTTGTGATTTGCATCAGCTCTGGGGGCAATGGAAAGAAGCCGAGTCTCCTGTTCTTTTTACAGAGGATTTTCACAGTGGTTCTTGGGGCAACAACTCTGCATGATCCTGTACATGGAAAATCTTCGAAATAACCTATAAAATGCAGACTCAGCTGCTGGCGGTTTATGGGGAGCTGGCGGGGTATGAGTTCACTTGAGCTCTGTCTCAGCTCCAGGAAAAGTTCTGGGGTTGCCTTTCTCTTATTCAAGTGATTTCTTTGCAGCGACTGATTTTTGCTAGAAAGGAAAATTCTGGGCCTTTTGTGAGGCAAGAAGGAGCAGCGGAAGGAGAAGAAACCGAAAATATTCTGAGTTGCATAAAGCACATTATTTTGCCTTGGGAAGGGAGGGCAAGGAAACAGGAAAAGCTCAGCAGCAAATGGATTCCAGATGCGCCTGGTCTTATCTGTTTGGCACCGCTTGGCTTGGAGGAGAGAAAGAATAACTCTCTCACTTCCACAAATCGGACCAGATAATCTCCATTTTGTTCTTATTTCTTTATCTGGCTTAATAACTTCCCTTACTCCCCAGAGTAAGACTCAAGAGTGTCTCACAGGAGAACAAAAAGCAGGTCTAGATAAAGCGAGACAAAAAATATAATGCTAAAATTCAGTTGAATACCTGGTATTAAAACATTATGAGGTTAAAACCCATTTTTAAATTCTTTTTTGTAAACTCAGGTCATGCTTTGGGGGGAAAAACAGCACCAACTGATTTAAAATCTCTATCTCGGTAGAAGTTGCTTCCAAAGCCTTCCTGAAGTGATATCCCTACATGCGAATATGGAGCCACAGCCACATAATTTTGTCCATTGGACTGGCTTTAAATTGACTACAAGCCTATGAACTAATTGGAGACATCTGCCACCTAGTGATTGAAGTTGGCAACGCAGATATCAAGGATGTGGATACATTTACATGAATGGAAAGACGCTAATGTGTGTAAACAACCAAATAACTCCCAGCTGCAAATTCTTGCAGTTTTCTTCATGTGCATGCCAAATTTTACGTGGGTAAGTTTTAATGCCTTAGTATTGTGGCTCATAAAATCATACAGTCATAAAGTTGGAAGGGGCCTATAAGGCCATCAAGCCCAACCCCTGCTCGGTGCAGGAATACAAATCAAAGCATATCTAAATTTCTCTTGAATGCCTCCAGTGTTGGAGCACTCACCATCACCTGAGATAATTGGTTCCATTGTCATACTGCTCTAACAGTTAGGAAATTTTTCCTAATATTCAACTGAAATCTGGCTTCCTGTAACTCAAGGGCATTGTTTCATGTCCTGTTATCAATAGACAGACACTGCTCTTCCAGAAAGCCATTGCATTGTGATATTCTTTACCTCTTTCATTAGAACAGATGTTTACTTAGTGCACACAAGATTTCTTGGAAATGTTGGTAAATAGGCAGCTGACTCACCGCATGGTACTCTGAAAGGGAGCATGACATTTCTGGAAATTGTCTGGGGCTTAGGCCATTAATTTAAAATGAGGAAAAATAATAATTTCTCAGCAGCAACCAAGTTATCATTTGCAAAATGCTGTTAACACCTGATGCCCACACCTGCAGTTAAAATATTGGCGCTTTTATTGTATGAAGCGATATACAAATGAAAAAAAACATTTAGACTCAACGTCCTTGGAGAAAGACATTGGGCTTGCAATGGTCAGCAGTAAAAGACAACAAGGACACCCAAGAACACGTTGCTTGGGTGTAATCAAAGCAGACACTGCCCAAAATATAAAGCAGCTGAAAGACGCTGTTACAAGATCAGAAACCATGGAGAGAGCTGGCTCCTGGAATCGCCAAGGGTCAGAGATGACTGAATGGATTGTTCCGTTCGATTCCCTGATATTTGTGTACTGGATTATATGGGTTAATACATCGATTAAAGTTTATGCATGAAAATCTCTATGGTCGATCAGTAATATTTCTGGGGTTTTAGAGCTAGTATCTTTCTGTATGCATCCGGATGGGTGGATTATTCTTGCTTTGAAGGTTGGCCCTCCAGTAGGACAAGGCGATGTTTGGTGGGGACCTCCCTCCTCCAGCTCATCTGTGGTGGAACCTAGAACTCTTGCTTTTTTGTTTGTTTGTTTGTTCTACAACTGGTTGCTTTGTCTCCCATCCCATCTCTGCAGCAAAAAAATGGCCTTTGCTAGCATTGCAAAACCTTCTGGAGAGGGTGCGGTGGCTGCCCAACCCCGCTGCCCTTTTCATCTGCCTTGGCCTTCCTTCTTGCACAGAGGAGACCTCTTGTCTTCTGAAAGCCACAGCCGCCTCCTGCCCGGTGGGCTCATCCCTACAGCTGGTTGCTTTGTCTCCCATCCCATCACTGCAGCAAAAAAATGGCCTTTGCTAGCATTGCAAAACCTTCTGGAGAGGGTGCGGTGGCTGCCCAACCCCGCTGCCCTTTTCATCTGCCTTGGCCTTCCTTCTTGCACAGAGGAGACCTCTTGTCTTCTGAAAGCCACAGCCGCCTCCTGCCCGGTGGGCTCATCCCAAGAGCAGACCTGGGAGACTAAAGGAAGCAAAAGGTATCCATCAAGTCAAGGCAGGAAGCAGGGAGCGCCAAGGCTGCTTGGAAGTCAGAGACAGGGCGAGAGGTTCAATAGCCAGGGAGTCAGCCAGCAACATCCGGAAATAGGAGATGGGTTGCCCCCAACCAAGGGTTTGTCTCAACCTGAGGGAACCCTCCAGAGGTTAGCGGCTGGTGGGCTCGTCCCAAGAGCAGACCCTGGGAGACTGAAGGAAGCAAAAGGTATCAATCAAGTCAAGGAAGGAACCAAGGGTCCGTCTCATCCTGAGGGAACCCTCCAGAGGTTAGCGGCTCACAGCTGGCCAGGGGCCAGAGGAGGCCTAAAGCAGGATTTGGCCTCCTGGGAGGAAAAGATTTTTCCCCAAGGAAACTCCCTTACTCAGTCCCAAGAGCAGACCCTGGGAGACTGAAGGAAGCAAAAGGTATCAATCAAGTCAAGGAAGGAACCAAGGGTCCGTCTCATCCTGAGGGAACCCTCCAGAGGTTAGCGGCTCACAGCTGGCCAGGGGCCAGAGGAGGCCTAAAGCAGGATTTGGCCTCCTGGGAGGAAAAGATTTTTCCCCAAGGAAACTCCCTTACTCATGAGGAAGACCCTTCCCTCAAGAAATCAATGAGAGCAGTGTGGTCCAAAATACAAAGGCCAAGAGCAGGTAGTACCTTTCTGGACTTTATATCTAAATCCTACAATATGTGAGCTTTTGTGGATCAAAGCCACTTTGTCAGGCTTGTCCCCATGTGGAAGAACTTAAAAGTTCATAGCAAGATGGATTTGGTTCTGTGTTTCGATCTAGGCTCGTGCGCTTGTCCTACACGTTGCTTGTGGGCTGAGAGGAAAACCTCCCCAACCCAGGAACGGAGCTGCCTTCCTTTGGTGGTTGATCCACGGGACCTAGAATTCCCTTCCCTGCGCTGGGTTCAGGATTCACCCTTGAGCCCAGCAGGGCCGTGACACTCAAGAGATAGGCTGTTGCCGCCGCCCTTGGCAGCAAAATCGGTGTTCCTAGTCATGAGGAAGTTAAATCTCTTCGGCTTTGCAACTTCCACTCTAAGGGCCCTCCATCGGCTCAAACGCAACCTGTGTGAACCACCTGAACGTGCAAAAGGAAAACATCACACAAAAGCAGTCCATTATTACTAATTGTTACAGCTGCCGTTTGTGCTTGTTTGTCGTCATTGGCTTGGATGGTTTTTTTCCCCCCCTTGTTAAGGCAAATGAGTGATTGTTCTCCCTTGAGTTTCCCGGATTCTTCTATGGAATCCAGAACTCCAGGACGTGGTGTGTAGAGTCAGTTTTCAGCCACCCAAGAGGAGAGAAGGGGGGGGGTTGCGGTCATTGGCTCTTTGCCTGTAATTAATTGCACAAACTTGTTAACCCAACTGTCATCTGCTCCACCTCCTTCTGTGGAAAGGCAGCTGTTTCGTTTCTTTTCACTCCCTATCTGGCCTTAAGGCCCCCAAACCAGAGGGGAGGGAGAGAAGAAGAGGAAGGACAGTCCATCCTTGGAGGGCATAAGGCCATCCCCAGAGGAAGCATCTCTTGGGGGAAGCAAGGACTGCCTCCCCGCTTTGCCTCCATCAATGAAGGGCGAGGAGGACTCAAAGGCTGTGGAAGAGAGGAAGTTCAAGCCACTCTGAGTTTTAGTCCAAACTTTAAAGAAGCGAACTGGCTGGTGTCACTGTTTGGGGTCAGTGTTCAGGACCTTGGGTAGATCCAATGAGGCTTAGACTGAAATCTGGAGTGGACTCCCCGCCCCCATGGCCTTGGGGCTGGATCGCCAGCCTCCATTGCTGCCCAGCTGTTCCTTCTGTGGCAAGACTGTGGTGGCTGTTCTAGAGAGGCCTCCTTCGTTGCCCTCAGATGGGGTGAAACTCACAGTCCCGTTACCAATAAGTAAGATTCTGCTGCACGAGCCCTCGTGATCCGCAGCCTCTTTCTTGAGCTGCAAACTCGTGGAGACGACGTTGATCAATAAGCAGAGGAAGAAAACAGAACAAAAAATTAAAATTGCAAGAAGACAAAGACCCAGGAAAGAAAGCCAATAGAACCGCTCGTGTTTAGGAGGCCCCTAAGACTATTTTTCCGCTAGACTTTTAAAAGGCACAGCTTTTCCAGGATTGGCATCGTTAGAACGAATTAGAAAAGAGCTGAGGGCTTCCTTATTTTATTTTTTCCCCGGGTCACGGCTATTCCTGACAGTGCGGTACACACGTATGGAAATGGCATGGAATGTGGGAGGGAGGGAAGGCTGGTTAAAAAGGCGAGGGACCAGCAGCATCCCAGAAGGAGGGAGAGAGAGAGAGAGAGAGAGAGAGGAACGAGGAGAGGCTGGAAGAGAAGCGGTCCAGAGCTTTTCAGCAGTGCCTGTAACTTGGCCTGGAGCACCACCCTCTCTCTGCAAAATGCTGGTTCTCTCGGTGGTGGCCCTCCTCGTCCTCTCCGGTGCCTCCTGGTGCCCTCTGGCAGAGGGGGCCCCTCGCACCGTCACCCCGAGCCTCCTGCAGAGAAAGCCTGGCATCCTTAAAGCAACGGCTACCAGCCCGGTGACGAGGACGGTGACCACCACTGTGCCCCACTTGGACCTCACCTCGCCGTCCCCCTCCAGGACCCCACGGGTCAGGGGCACTGCCAGTCCCAGGCCCACCTGGGCCCCTGCCAGCCTCAAGACCACCGCCGCAGCTCCCACACGGAGTGCCAAGAGGATGACACTCTCCACAGAGAGGCCGACTGACAAGACAGGTACACGGGAGCATCACCTTGCGGGGTGGGCGACACGTAGGGAAAGGGGTCCTGCTGAGGAGGGAGCTATCCTGGGTCCTTTTCACGCACCGAGATTTGCTCGCTGGAGAGTCCGTTTGCACACAAAAAATAGGGCAACAAGCAAAACTTCACTGCCCGTCGTCGTTGGGCTGTGCAAGAATTTCAGGACGCAAATCTTTGCAAACTCTGCTGGGCAGCAAGCCAAGATGATTTTAAGAGGCGAGGTGGCCTCTTCGGAGAGCTGCCAAACCGGCCTCCTCTTTACTTTTTTTCCAAAGTGGGAATGGGGGAGGGCAGTATTGGAAAAACGGCTCAAAAATCCCTTGGATTTGCCAAGAACAATCCTGTCTCCCCAAAGCTCTTTCTGGGGAGGAGAATGTCACTTGCGAATAGCCGCTCGGGTGTCGGACAGATTAGCCGGGCACCTGGTGCCTGCCCTGGCATTTCTTGTCGGGCATGTGGGAGTTCCCACTCAGACACATGAACCCAGGAGGCCAGAAGGAAGTCATCTGGCCATTCGCACACGGCGGTTCCCTCTCTTGAGTAAACTCTCTTGTTTCTCTTGACTGCTCATCCCTGTGTCGGAACCAGGGGTCAATGGGGCCGGTCAGGGTGAGCGGGTTTCCCTCCAGTCAGCGGCGGGCAACATGGGGTGGTTCTTAAGTGCCATCAAGTCACAACTGACTTATAGCAGCCCCAGAAGGTATTTCCTTCCTTCCTTCCTTCCTTC